TTACAGTGACACCATATTCTTTCTGCATCATCTCTTGAAATAGTGAATCGGCCTTACTAAACCCACATACTTTACAGGGAGACCCCAAGCAAGGATTTTATGAAACCACAAGGGAGCCCTTTCCCTGGAGGTGCCAGATGCATTGATACAGTTGACAGTCGTGTGAGTCCAGAGTCGATATCAGGGGCTTTGGGGGTTCCTCTCATTTCCTTTGGGCTCCTCTGGTTTAATATTATGACAGAGAACACCTGCACATAGAAGCCGTGGATCTCAATGCACACATAACATCTAATATTCCAATAATACAGACACACACACACACACACACACACACACACACACACAAACACACAGTGGCTAATTATCATAGTAATGCACTTGAAATTTCTTCTTTTCTATACCTAGCACATGGGCAGTGCCCTCCGTGCCCTGACACACACTGACCCTAGGCTTGAGTGTGTGACTTGCTTTGACAAACAAAAGCAAACACAGTAAAGTGGAGACTGGAGTGTGCGTGCACGTTGGGTTTGCCTGTTCTTGAAGAATCTGGGCACTGCAGTTGCCCCATGGGAAGGGTACAGGCTTGCCTCACGTTGTCAGAAGTGGGGCACAGTCACAACATTTCTCACTCATACTGCCTGCATCTGAGGGACCCCAGAGACCCCACCTGCAGGAAGGAAGACCCTGAGAAGTCTGAGGAGGAAGAGGCAGCATTGTTGTCAGCTGACCCAGGTGATGCTGTTCTGCTGGGTCACCAGGTGGGTGGGACAGTAGCAGGAAGATGAGCTAGGTCAGCTCCATGAGGGATGCCCTGGCTTTTGCAGGACACCTCATCACCAGAAGTTTCTCCATCCTCGGGCTCAGTCCTGCTGGCCATCTCTCCTCTTGACCGCCTGCCCTGTGGACCTAAGACCCCAGCATCTGACAGGTACATAGACCCACTGCTTAATCACCCACAACTGCGCCAACTGTGCGAAACCTGCGTCGCCTTCTACGTCTCTGGTGGAACCCGGATTGTGATTACACCTGGGTCCACCAGAAACTCCTGGAGGAGGAGGGAAACTTTGTCACAGAACACTAAGGAAAGAGAGAAAAACAGCCTGAGGCTGATGAGCGAGGATCCTGAGTTTGGTCTGTAAGCTGCAGGTGTCAGAGGCTTCAACCTGATCTCCTGCTCTGGACTTTGTCTCGCTGTGGTCTCTGGGCATCCCTAAGTTCTCCTCTTTGGAGGGTCTGTGTCTCGCAGCACTTACAACTTTCATCCACTAGTGTTATCCTGGAGCCTCAGCACTGTGCTAGTTCTCTGGGGGGGAGGGGTCTTGTGTATTCTTATGATTAAATCTCAGTGAGGCAGTTTTCCCGTGTCTCTAGTCTGTGATTCTCACAGGGTTTCTGCGGTGGTGTCAGGGTGGGACTTGTTCCCTTCTGATTACCCACCTGATTCACAAAAAATTATGACCAGGGAGCTTGACCTTATTAGTTGCAGAAAAATGTTTCCTGATTTTAGGGAGAAAGAAAATAGAGATCTGTGACTCATGAATACTTAAAAAACTTAAATGAAAGAAAGGCATTTAATAAATATAAACAGTATCAGAAATTCTCTTTCAGAAAGAAAATGAAACATTATGCATCTGTTATTTTTTTAACTTGTCAAAGTATGTTTTCTGCTAAAATATACGTAAAAACCTGTGTGTGTATGTGTGTGTGTGTTAAAATGTAGCCAGATTTGTTTTCATCAGGTATGGTGAGACACATGGACGTGGAAGTGATTGTCAGTTTACACTCACAGATCCCTAGAAACAGGGGGCACACACCACACAGGGGCCACTCAGGGAGGCACTGGGGTTGGTCAGGAGACAGAAGAGGGGGCGGGACATGCACCAGAGACCTGATTGGGGTTTTGGAATGGATGAGGCAGGGTAGGTATGCTGAGTAAAATTAGCACTGGATAGCTTGAATAATTTTGTCAGGCTCTTGGGCACGTGTGGTCCCTGGTTGTCCGAGACCTGGCCCTGGGGTGATCCAGGTCAGGAGGAATGTGGAAAGGTGTGTGAGAGCTTGTAAGGGAGAGAGAAATATCTCTATCTCTGACCCCCCACATGCACAACCTCCACCATCATCACTACCCTCAGATGGCACATTTGTTATAGCTGATAAACTGTCATGACACATGGCAATTACCCGAAGCCCATAGCTTACCTTAGGGTTCACTCTTGTACATTTCACGTGACTTTAGAAATGTATGACATGTGTCCAGTATTAAGGAATGATAAGGAGTATTTCCCTGCCCTAAAAGTCCTCTGACTTCACCTGTTCATCCGTCTTCCTCTTCCCGAACTCTACGGAATCACTGATCTTCTTACTGTCTCCATAGTTTTGTGTTTTCCAGAACATCACAAGGTTAAAAGCATACAATATGAAGGCTTTTAGGATTGGCTTCTTTTACTTAGTGATATGCATGCCTCTTCCGTGTCTTTTCATTCTTTTATTGCCAAATAATATTCTATTGTTTGGAGGCACCCCAGTTTATTTATCTGTTCACTTACTGTAGGACATCTTGGTTGCTTCCAAGTTTTGTCAACCATGAATAAAGCTGATATAAACATTTGTGTGCAGGTTGTCACGTGGACCTATGTTTTCTATGTCTTTGGGTAAATGCCAAGGTGTACGATTGCTGGGTCATATGGTAAGAGCATGTTTCCTTTCATAGAAACTGCTGAAATGTCTCCCAAAGTGGATGCACCGTCTTGCGTTACAACAAGCGGTGAATGAGTTCCTTTCCTTCTACAGCCTTGCCGGCATGTGGCAGGTAATTGCGATGTGTCATGACAGTTTATCAGCCTTGCCGGCGTGTAGTGTGGTCCATGTTCCAGATTTTGGCTGTTTGAATAATTGTGTGTAGTCATCACATCATGGTTTTACTTTGCATTTCCCTGATCACATGTGAAGCAGAGCGTCTTCTCGTATGCTCATTTGCTATCAGTTTATCTCCATTGGTGAAGTTTCTATCCAGGTCTTTGGCCCATTTTTTTTTTCAATAAATTTTTTTATTTTTTATTTTTTTAAATTTTTGGCCGTGTTGGGTCTTTGTTGCTGTGTGCGGGCTTTCTCTGGTTGCGGTGAGTGGGGCTACTCTTGGATGCGGTGCGCAGGCTTCTCATTGCAGTGGCTTCTCTTGTTGCAGAGCACGGGTTCTAGGTGTATGGGCTTCAGTAGTTGTGGCACACGGGCTCAGTACTTGTGGCACGAGAGCTCTAGAGCGCAGGCTTAGTAGTTGTGGCGCGCGGGCTTAGTTGCTCCGTGGCACCAGGGCTCGAACCCGTGTCCCCTGCATTGGCCGGCGGGTTCTTAACCACTGCGCCACCAGGGAAGTCCCTTTGGTCCACTTTTTAATCAGGTTTTCTCTTTTCATATTGTTGAGTTTCAAGTGTTCTTTGTATAATTGGGTGACAGTACTTTACCAGGTGAATCTGTTACAAATAATTTATCCTAGGCTGTGGCTTGTATTCTCATTGTCTTGACATTGTCTTCCACAGAGCAGAAGTTTTTAAATTTATTAGAATCTAGCTTATCAAAGGTTTATTTTATGGATCCTAAAAAGTCATCATTCATTCTACCCCAAATCATCTCGTTTTTCTCCTGTGTTATCGCATGGAGGTTTTAGAGTTTTGAATTTTGCATTCAGCTCTGTGAACCATTTTCAGTAAAGTTCTGTGAAGACTGTAAGGTCTTTGCCAAGGTTCACTTTTTTGCATGTGGATATCCAGTTGTTCCATTTGCTAAAAAGCCCCATTAATTTTCAGAATGGCACAGATAGGAGTAATGTCTTCCAGACTTTGCTTTAATCTTGGGAAAACGGGGGTGTACGTTGTGGCAGAGAGCAAGGATTATACCAGGGTTGTGGCCTAAGCAGAGGGTGAGCCCAGACACATAATAGAAATCCCAGTATCAGAAGAAGAAAAGCAGTAAAGGTTCTGTGTTCATCATTTGTGTTTTAAGAGGGAACATCCACAGGCTTTACTGGGGCTCAGGATTTAGCATCCAGGATGAAGTCTTCACCAATGGGAAGGTCTTGAGTTGGACGGGTATCATCTGGGATGTGGGCTGGAGAACCTCCAAGTGAGTTCCTGTTGCATGGATGTGGGTCTCCGCATTTGCCGTGGTTGTTTGAAGCAGTGTCTCTGTGGCAGAGTGGGCTTCCAATTACAACTGACTGAAAACGACCAGACCGTTACTAATTAGATCAGCAAAATCATCGGGATGATGTGAGCTGTGCTTGACCGGTCTCTCTTATTGTTGTTGTTTGTGGGCATATAGGGTCCTGTATCAAATGAGCCACCTGCCCTGTAGGACAGGTACGGTTAGCGCTTCCAGGAGAGCATGTGCCCTAGATCTGGTGTCCAACCCTTTTGGTATGGCGGAAAGATAGTACAATATATTAAAAAATAAATCAAGCCATGGGGAAAGGGAGAGAAACATTCAGGGGATTATGTGCCAGACTGGAATTTGGAAAGGAATTATTTGAGAAGAGCATTATGTTTCTAATATCAAACATCTGTCTAGGACCTATCGGGGACATGATGGTTCTATTGAATGATATTCCAAGACCCTACCTTGTGTGTATTGAAAATAAAATGCGTAGTTTAGTTACTATTAGTAAAGTCTATGGCTCCAGAGGAAATAAATACTGCCCTAGTAAGGCATTGTAGGTCTTAGCATACATGGAAATGTGTCATTTTGGTTTATGTTTTAGGTGTCTTTGAGGCAAGAGATTCCCAGATACTTTTACACCAAAGGGGACAATTTTTGGACAATGGCCCAATAGTTTATTATAAATGAGAAGATGGGGTTATTTGTTGCCCAGGGTATCTAACCGCTAAGGCCACTGAACCTGCCCTGTCCCTGGGACTAGACCTCGTGCTCCTGAATCCAGAGAACTCCTGAGTACACCCTGCAGCCCAGCCCCTCCTGTCTCCCTGCAGGGAGGTTTGTGTCTGGGCTCACACTGATTTCCCTTTATTGTGTCTCTTACACAGTAATGCATGGTTCCTGTCCACGGCTCTCAGGCTGTCCATTTGCAGATATAGCATGTTCCTGGCATTGTCTCTGGAGATCACAAATCAGTCCTTCACTGAGTCTGCATGGTTAGTGCTACCAGTACCAGTATTAATGGATGAGACCCACTCCAGACCCTTCCCTGGAGCCTGGCACACCCAGCTCATCCAGTAGCTGCTGAAAGTGACTCCAGAGGCTGCACAGGAGAGTCTCAGAGACCCCCCAGGCTACGCCAAGCCTCCCCCAGACTCCACCAGCTGGACCTCTGCAAACACAGGGACATCCTGGTCAGGAGACTGTCACACATCCACTGATTCCCTCACTCATATCCCCTCACATCCTCAGTATCTCTTGTTCTCCATCAGTTACCTTGTAAAATAGCAACAAAGACAAAGCAGCTCAGCCCAGACTCCACGGTGTGTTGTCTGTATTCAGTCCTTGCACAGCTGATGCCGAGGCAGGGCCATAACAGTGAGGTGTGGGGGTCCTCCGAAGGACGACTTGGGCTCGAAGATGCCCCAGCTGGTCCTTCCTTGGGCTGAAGGACACTCGGTGTCCCATCCAATCTTACTTCTCTCTCTGCCACTCAGGGTCAGAGCTGCAGCAGGGCTGACATCACTCTCAGCATCACAAACATACTTTCCTAAAAACAAATTCCATGCAAATGGAATCCATTTTCGATGACTGCTTTTTAGGTGACCTGAAATAACTGAAAAAATACCTTAGCATAGTTATTATAATATGAACCTGCTTCTTTAGGCAAATATACAATATAAAATAACAAAGGCAATGGTCAGTTTTATGTGTCAGCTAGCCTGGGCTCCCTCTCCAGTTATTCAGTCAATCCCTGATCCGGGTGTTACCCCGAAGGTATTTTGTAGATGTTGTTAAATTCTGTCATCATTTTACTCTAACCTAGAAATAGTACCCTGAGTAACCTGGCTGGGCTTGGTTCAATCGCAGCAGACCTGAAGGAGGTGCAGTTGCACAGTGGACAGCAGCTTCCTCTGCTGCTCGAGATTTCCAGCCTGGCCTTCCTGACGTCTGGCCCCAAGAAGGTTGTATGTCTCCAACCGGCCGCACAGCCTCCATCCTCCAGAGCTCCCAGCACAGCGGAGTGTCCGTCAGGCTCCGCTGGAAGCCACAGGCCAGGGTGGTGACCCCACAAGACTTTGATCAGGACAAGTTCAAACTCCACATCCCGTTGTGTCTAAACAAACATCACTCCCTTGAGTACTCGTGCCCACTCAGCTTCCCCAGCGAGTGCACGTGCAAAGGACAGCAGGCACGTCCTGGTCCACAGCAAGTCTGAAAGTCCCATCACGCCTTCCCAGGTGCCTGCAGGAGCCACAGCCTGGGCCACACCTAAGCTCCAGGTAAAGGGTCTGCCCCCGGGGTTTAGACCACAGAAAGGTCATGACCCCTTTTCAGAGAGTGGAAGGAGAAAGGGTTTGGGGACAAAACGACGAAGGAGAAGGAAAACTGATTCACAGAAGAAGAGACACAGCCTGATCAGTGCTCACTGTTCAGCGTTGAGTCTGGTGAGAGGAGGGTTAGATTGAAAATCCATCAGCTTCTCTCAGGGACTCGCCCAGCCTCAGGCTCCGTCTGGCAGGCACCAGCACAGCAAAGACTGTCCTTGTCTAGGATTTCTATTGAGGTCTGTTCTCCCAGTCTGATAGGAAAGCAGCAACCAGCTTCCTCAGGCCTCCTCACATCCCTGCTTCTGGTGGCCATGAGCAGTCATTACTGGTTCCGTAGGTGGGACTCTGCATTGGCGCACGTGAAACTGTGTGCTCGTGTTAGAGCAGAAGCTTCTAATCAGAGATCTATGGTTGGCAAACAATTACAAACGTAGAGAGGGTCTACGAGAGATGGTGAGACGCAGAGGGAACCAGAGGCTCTGGCAGGAAACCTCCGCCTTCATCCGCACCTGCTCGTGTGGCTGGTCTCTGTGCTCAGTGGGTCCTGAGCACCCCTGGGGGCCTCAGCCCTGCCTCATGGTCCTCAGTGAAACCTGCAGCCCAGACCCTCCTGTCTCCCTGCAGGGAAGTTTCTGTCTGGGCTCGCCCTGACCTCCCCTCCTTGTGTCCCTCGAACAGTCTGCAGCCATATGCCCTCGGTGGTTCCAGAGCTCAGCTGCAGGGAGGACTGGTTCCTGGATGTGTCTCTGCAGATGGGGAGTTAACTCCTAGGGGCTGGGGCTGGGGCTGTGTCGTCTTTCTAGCATATTCCCGATGACCAGTGCGACCCCTACCCCAAGGGCTGATGGATCCCAGGTCCAGCAATAACCACTGGTTGGGATGAGGAATCCGGAGACAGCACAGGTGAGGGAGAGGGTCTGCAAGGTGCAGTCCTGGGCCCAACTCCTGTACCTGCACCTGGGACAGAACACCTGGCAACAAGGAGAGTCAGTCGCTGTCAGTCACCTGTGGCCACAGCCATCCCCACAGCCCCGTGTCTGACACCTGTGACCCGTACTCGTCAGGTGGCACCTGGCACCTGGGGAGGTGTCACCAGGCGGAGGAGGAAAACCCACAGCCTCCCCTTCTTCCCGACCAGAGCGCTGCCTTCCCCAGGGGCCCCAGCCCTGTCTGCGGAGGGAGCCGTGAGCTCCTGCGGCCCAGGGCTGGACTTCACCCTCGAGCTTGAAGGGGAATTTTCATACTGGAAGCCTTGTCCTTAGAAGTGGGGAGAGACTGAAGGACTCCTTTTCTGCCATTTCTTATTATTGCCAACCAAGATTTAACCATCTCCCCACTTTCTAAGGACTCAGATCGTTTTCTGTCCATAATGGCCCTTTTCTCCTTTCTTTTCAATTAGTTCTTGCAGGTGTTAAGTGGAGGAAGTGGCCCTGCTCTGTCTTCTGAGGTTTGAGAGCTGTGGCACCTTACAGTTCCCTCCTCTCTCCTGCCCCCGCCCGCTGCTGGGAAATCTGGTAAGAAGCACGGCTTCTCCGCCCTTCCATGCAGGTGGGACATCAAAACCACGTGAGCCCCGCCCGTGAGCACAACACTTAGCCCTCCCCCACCCAGGAGCCACATTAAAAACCCGAATCCGGCTCCATTGCTGGTGCTCTCAAACCATTCCTGATGTTCTTGAGGGCTCTGCCCTGCCCTCAACAGACACCTCAATCATGGAGGTGATACATTTTTCAAATTCGTTTCATGTGTGCCTGTGGCATCATCACGCTGAACTATATGGAGCTTTGGTGGGGGATGGGTGTCACCATGCATTGCCTTGATGTCCACTGTTAACACTCTTGGTGCTGTGAGTGTGGTGTCAAGTCAGTGGCCACCACCACCAGGGCCTGCCTTCTGTTGCCTTGGGTGTGTGATGCCGGTGTCGCCTGATACCCATCATGCACTTTAAGGTGCTGCTTGCTGGCTAGTTGTGCTCTGAGCTGTGCCCTGTAGTGCTGCGTTGTTGACTGCAGCAGAGCCCCTTGTATGGATTTAGCCAACTTACTGCAGAAGTTTTGATAATTAATTGGTATTTATGGACAGGAGTAAACAGTCGTAAGGGACTCTACCTTCTGTGCATGGGAGTGTCTTCCTCCTATGGCAGCACATCTTCCTAATTCAGAGGTTTTAGAGTTAAGCATAGAATCATGAGGCAGAGGTGGGCTGGGGGAGACTGCTCTAAGGAGAGGAAGCCCCAGACCCCGGCAGGGAGCAGCCCCGGACCTCCATCTGCGCCTGCTCCTGCGATCAGCCTTGCGTTGGCAGCGCTGACCTCCCTCTGAGGCCCTGAGATCTCCTGGGAGACCCTGACTGTTACCCGTAGCCCCCACACCTGCCCCTGCGAGGAGGCTTGTGTCTGGCTCACCACGCACTCGGACTGCAGTGTCTCGGGCACAGCTGTACCTGCCTGCAGTCCTGGCCTTGGAGCTGCACAGTTGTGAGAACACTGGCTTCTTGGTTGTGTCCCTGGAGATGCTGACTCAGGACCTGAGGTCATGCTGTCCTGAGTGTGCCCCTGAGCCCAGGCCACAGCAGCCACTCCAGCCCCTTCCCTGGGTGAATGTGGATCCTCCACAGGGGATATTCTGAAATTGGGAACATGTGGACGACACAGGTGAGGCCGAGCCTCTCCATGGAGACCACCTCCCCCTCATGCCTTTGTACAATGTGGTTCTCAGCCTGGGTACCTGGGAAGAGAGAAAAATCCTGAGTCACACGGGCACATGGCCTCATCCCATCATCCCATTTCTGAAGGAAAAGTCTGATTCTCTTCAAGTGGTTTAAGATATGCAGTTAAGTCAGACTTCTCATCATGATGTGTAGGCAGACAGAAGGGCTTGTGGCCTCCGGATTCTGAGGGGGGAGTTAGTGCAAGTCTGTAGTACTGCACCTATGAAACTGGGCCTTAAGAAAGCATCTCATGCTGAAGAAAGTACTTTAATGGAAGACACAGTATGAAAAAACAAGTTAGCGTCCATTGTCAGCTAACAGGCACCAAAGGAGATTGTGAGATACAGTTTTACAGTAAAATGAAAACAGGCCCAGAGAGAGGATGCGAGAAGAAGAAAGAAACGAGAAGCAAAAAGGTAAAAGCCGTGTGTGTAAGCGTGATTAAATGGTGAATAGAGGGGAAAGGGTACCTCATCTCGTACAGGGTATAAGTTAATTAAAGAGTAGAGTTAGCATTCACAAGGTCAGTGGGAATTCGTCTGAGAGAGCAGAACTGGGAGCACCTAGGGTGAAGCCCTGGGACTGCACAGGGGGTAAGGGAAACATCATTATGCGTCAGTTATCCTCATCCTGTGCTCTGCGAACACCCTAATGTGGAAGAGAACGAGCGTCTAACTCTCGCCCTCTCAGAGGGGAAAATTAGCCGGTGTGTGAGACCCGTCAGGGATGAGCGGGCCCAGTTGGGATGGGGAGGAGTACAGAACAGCAGGCAGAGGGCAAGGAGTAAGTGTCCTACCTTGGAAGTTCATCCCCGATCACATTCGGTTTAAATGGCAGGACTGTGTTTGTAAATTAAAAGGGAAATATTCGTAGTCTGGAGGACAGTGAAATTTTCCTTCTCATCATGACCTGATACTAGACTTTTTTCCTCCCCTCAAAACAAGTACAAAATTTCACAAGAGTGAAATATTTGTTCTCTCACATTGGGAACCAACAGAGAGAAGGGATCAGCACATGCGCCGGAGGAAGCTACCGCCGTCCAGGAAGGAACCACAGAGAAGGACTAGAGGGCGCACCCCTGGGGCTCTCGTGGTCAGGAGCAGGGTCTCTCCTCACCCGCTGGGGCAAGGAAAATAAAATCTGATAAATAAGGGAGCACCAGATGGTGGCCTCTGAAGGGTTTTACAGAGCATTGAGGAACGATGCTGACCCCGTAAGCCCTCAGTTCCACGGTAGCACACATGGACATAGTTCTCCGCTCTCCCACCTCAGCCCTGGCTGAGTTCATATCCAGACCTATCCACTGCCACGCCCTGGGACTGTTACCTAATCCCATTAGGAGACCCACCCAGTGACCTCTTTTGCTGTGTCACTGGCTCCTTTGTAGGAAGTGGCCAGAGCAGATGGTGTAGACCTGGCTCCTCTGGGATCCTGCTTTTAACTCATTGGCAGATGTCCCTGAGCAGGGCCCCAAGGCTGGCAGAGGGCCAGGTCACTCTGGGGGCAGCCGTCTTGCTGCTTGCACTCTGGGCAGTACTGGCTCCGGTCCAGTGCTCTCAAGGCCGTCCCTCATGGCGCTACATGTCTTCGGAGTTGGTGATCCCCAGGAAGGAGTTGCACCGAGGCAAGGGTGTTCAGACGCCAGGCTGGCTCTCCTACAGCCTGCGTTTGGGGGGCCAGAGGCACGTTATCCACATGCGGCGCAAGAAGTTATTTTGGCCCGGACACCTGCTGCTGATGACTCAGGGTGACCAAGGAGCCTTGCAGATGGACTCTACCCCTTCGTCCCTTCAGATTGTTACTACCTCGGCTACCTGGAGGGGATTCCTTTTTCCATGGTCACCGTGGACACGTGCTCTGGGGGTCCTGAAGGTGTTATGAAGTTGGATGACCTTGCATATGAAGTCAAACCCCTCAAGGATTCGGAAAGGTTTGAACATGTGGTTTCTCAGACAGTGGCAGATGCCAGTGCAACAGGACCTGCATATGGACCGGGACACAAGGAGGATAGACACCCGCTGTTCCCTGAAGCAGACGTCAGTGTAGCCCCCAGGAGGGGTGCTAGGGTGTTTGCAGCACATAAGGGAATTATGAAAGGATTTGTTCAATATTCTAATTCAATGTATCGTGTATACAACAGTGTGTCTAAGTGTGTAGAAACCCTGGTACGTATGTGTAGTATAGTGGACTCCTTTCAACAAGGTCTTGCTGTAAGGTTCTATCTAGTCGCAGTGGCACTATTTAATGAAAGAGATCCAACTGTCATGAATGACTGTAGAGTACCAGGTGGTGCATACGCTCGTTATCACGCAAAGAATTTCAGACTAGTCATAGAAAGCACTTCATCCTTGATGGTAATCCGTGATGGACCACGGCCAGGCCAGTTTGAGCCAGAGACCTATACCGTGTGTGACACCGACCGTAGCCTGCTCTTCGTTGGTTATCTAGGCAGACATTATTTAATATTAGCTATTGTGTCAACCCAACTCACTGGGAGAAGTTTTGGTCTGTGGTATGGCGGTGATGACTGCTATTGCATGCGAAGGACCACCTGCCTTATGGCAAAATACCCAGGCTTGACAGATGCCTTCAGTGACTGTTCCATCGGGCACTGGTGGAACATAGTAGCGATACGGGGCAGTTGTATATTTAACACAACGGTGAGCTGTTTTAATGAAAGCCTGATAAAGATGCGTTGTGAAATCTACATAGCAGAGGATTGGGAACAGTGTGACTGTGGCTCCTTCAAGCAGTGTTGTAGCAACAAGTGCTGCGAGTATGACTGTATGTTGGAGGAAGGGGCTACTTGTAATGAAGGACTATGCTGTACAAACTGTACCTACTCTGAACCTGCGACGCTCTGCAGACCAATCCAAAATACGTGTGATCTTCCGGAGTACTGCTTTGGAACAACCAGTCAATGCCCGGTAGATTTTTATGTGCAGGATGGAACGCCCTGTACTGAAGAAGAGGCTCCTGCTATCACGGAAACTGCACTGACCGCACCACGCACTGCAGAGGAATCTTTGGAAGACACGCTATTAACGCTCATGATGTCTGCTATACAATAAATAGAAAAGCCAATCGATTTGGACACTGTACAAGAAATGATAGGGTGTTGAACCATGCTGCTTTTGGAGAAGCAGACATAAAATGTGGAAGGCTGCAGTGTAGCAATGTCACTCATGTTCCCCGGTTGCAGGAACATGTTTCATTCCATCAGTCAAAGATCTCAGGGGTCTGGGGTTGGGGAGTAGCCCGTCACTATTCCCCAGAGACAACTGACGTTGGTCGTGTGAGAAGTGGTACCCCCTGCGCTCCTGAGAGGTTCTGTCTCAATAGCACCTGCAGTGCTCGTATAGGTGCAGTCACTTATGACTGCCCCCCTAAGAAATGCAATCATAGAGGAATTTGCAACAATAGAAGGAATTGCCATTGCCGTGTAGGCTGGGAGCCTCCACTGTGCTTAAAGAGAGGTCCTGGAGGGAGCATGGACAGCGGACCCAGTGCAAGGAGAATTCGCTCAGTAGGAACAGGCCAAGCCTCGATCCTGTATTTGAAACTGGGCTTTGGTCGCGTTTATGCCTTCATAGCTGCACTCCTCTTTGGTGTGGCCACCAGTGTTAAAAATGTCAAGACCTCCAGAGTTAAGGAAGTGTAGTAGGTGATAAATAAATTATAAACCAGCCTCCCGACCCCTGTACAACCATTGGTAATGTGGAAGTAATATCAGTATATGTGAGGAAATCAGTAATAAGATGGCAAAGATGAATGTCACGTTCTAGAAGTCTGCAGGAGACGACGGCGGGTTTCCGTACATCAGGGGCGGTCGAGAGGCATCGATGTTCTCACTTCAGGTCTCTTTGATAGGTCGCTGATCAGCGCTCCGAAATAAATCTTGAAAAACCACTTGTTGGTGCCCTCTAATATTTTGTAAACTCTAAGAGAGCAGATTGAGCCTGAGACTCTGGCCCGGAGAGAGACCTGAGTCAGCAGCTGGGTCTTGACCTGAGCTCACTGGTCCCAGGAATAACAAAAATTTTCATGGGCTTCTTTCGGGGCAGCTTCATGACATTTCTCCAAATCAGTGCTCTTCAACACTGGGGTTTTCCGCTTCCTCTGTTTAATCTCTTCTTCTCTAAACCCAAAGTGGGTTCCGGGTAATAGAGGGCCCCTCCCAACCAGCACTGTCTGTCTCCTTCTGGGGTGGCTGTGGTCTGTGGGGTGAGAGTGATGTGGGCTCCATTCCCACCTAGCATAAACTAGGACACTCTGGAGAGCATATTTCCCAAGGTGGGACACGCAGATCAGGAGGCTGAATGTAGCATTCCCTGAAATTCCATCAGAAAGTTAGGTAGAAATGCCTATCAGTTACTCTGGCATTCAGAGGGAGTCCTGTGAATGTTAATCCTTCCCTTCCTTCTTGCATCTACATTTCAGTGCACTCTCAGTGAATGTAAGCTGAGGAAGTCCTGATGAATAACAGACACTAGTCTTTTTTATTTTATTTTTTATTTAACATCTTTGTTGGGGTATAATTGCTTCACAATGTTGTGTTAGTTTCTGCTCTATAACAAGGTGAATCAGCTGTACGTATACATATAACCCCATATCCCCTCCCTCTTGCGATTGTTTCTGATTTTTCCTAGAGGATGTAACATATCGGTTTTGTCAACACGAGGCCAAAAATCACTAGATTTTTTTTTTAACATGTTTATTGGAGTATAATTGCTTTACAATGGTGTGTTAGTTTCTGCTTTATCACAAACTGAATCAGCTATACACATACATATACCCCCGTATCTCCTCCCTCTTGTGTGTCTCTCCCACCCTCCCTATCCCCCCCCCTCTAGGTGGTCACAAAGCACCGAGCTGATCTCCCTGTGCTGTGCGGCTGCATCCCACTAGCTAGCTATTTTACATTTGGTAGTATGTATATATATATATATATATAAGTCCATGCCACTCTCTCACTTCATCCCAGCTTACCCTTCCCCCTCCCCGTGTCCTCAAGTCCATTCTCTACGTCTGCATCTTTATTCCTGTCCTACCCCTACGTTCTTCAGAACTTTTTTTGTTTTTTTTAGATTCCATATATGTGTGTTAGCATATGGTATTTGTTTTCTTCTTTCTGACTTACTTCACTCTGTATGACAGACTTTAGGTCCCTCCACCTCACTACAAATAACTCTGTGGCCTTGCTGTCCTCTCTTAGGGACTGTGGCATCGTCTCCGTAGAAGGAGGTGGGTCAGCTTGAAGCCCGGTTCCCTCTTCTGCACGTTTCTCCTTTCTCTCCCAGCGATGGTGCCGGCCGAGCTGTGCCAGAGCAACCAAGGCAAAAGGGTCGTGCACCGAATGACTGAGAACTCTGACCAGGTGCCGTGGGCTCCGCAGAGGCAGTGACCCAGATCTGAGGCCCCAGAGCCTCCTTCTGAGTGTCGTGTCCCCGGTGCCCCTCTCATGGGAGTTGCTGTCAGGCTTGATGCTTGAAGCAGCCATGGTATCGATACCTCGCTGGTAGAAACTATTCCTTTTCTTCCCTGGGAGAAGCAGGTGTCCTACTTTGTTGGGGAGACCCCCTTTTTTATAAAGAATAATGATAAGCTGTGAGTACATATTAAGGATTAGGTTATATACATGTAAAGAATGATCATAAAGATCAAGAAACAGAACCTGATGAGTGGACACCCAGGAGTGCCCTCCCCTCGTCCCAGCCGCCTCCCCGCCGTGAGGTGGCTGCTCTCCCGATGTTGTGTCAGTGACTTGTCCTCACAGCTTACGCCCAAGCACGCATCCCTAAACAACGCA